CCCCCGCCCGCCCACTCCCCCGTCTGTGCTTTTCTCACCTCCACTGCATTCTCTGCACTTGTGAACTTTGTAGCAGATGCACAGCTCTGACCCGTATATAACCTTTTCAAGGTGAGGAAATGATCCCACAGCTAGAACTGCTGCAGACAGTAGTCATCGTGCAGCTCTGAGAACAGGGGGGGCCGGGGAAACAACACCTGGTAAAACTGCCGTCTGAAAAAACTCCAAAGTAAATTTGAGACACTTGACTGTTCAGTGTTTTCTGTAAGGGTGGTTGTCATTTTTAGAACACTTTGATCACAGCATTTTTTTTATTTTATTTTTTTATATATTTTTTTACAAAAGATCATACTGTAAAAGTACAAATATAAAAATGAATTTTTTTTTAAATTTTTTTTAATTTTACTTCTAATGTTTGGTCAGTGTAAACATTGATTCTGAAGGCCTTACGGTAGATTTCTTTCCCCCGTAGCGACACGTGATCTCTAAAATATGATTGGATAAAATACTTGGATTTAAATACGACAGCTTCGAAATCAAGAGAACAGACTATTATGTAATTTTTTTTTTTTTAGAAATATTCATGATAAATATATTGAAAAATAAGTATCTGATTCTGTTACTCTTTAGGTCAGCAGAGAAACCTTTGCTGGAGTTGATGGTCCACTACCGTTAGCACCACTGTGGGGAGTCTAATGATGATAATAGATGATAAAGTTGTTCAATATACTTACATATTTTTACATATATATGTATATAATTTTAGTATTTGTGTCGTACTTTTGATTACATCGTACGTTTTCAAATCATCCATCAACTGAAACCTTCACACCAGGTTGTTTCCGGTTAGACACAGTAGACTCGTCACCGATTGCATCATCGACAGTGCGTCCTGAATTTGCTATTGTTATGTTACAATAAATCCACTTCATTCATGCACATTGGCGTCAGAGCACACATCTGGATTGTGAAATCATCTGGGATTACTCTTTTATTTAAAAAAAAAAAAAAAAAACAAGGAAAAAAAAAAAAAACCAAAAAAAACTTTTGTCA